CGCAAATTCACTCAATAAAAACTCTTTTTCCCAAAGAAAAACACTGACCTCAACATATTAATATATATATATATATATCATACAGGTTGTCGCTTGGACGTTTTTCGTTTGATCCTTCAACATATAACTGCTATTTTACGGCATAGTCAAAAAGGGTTCTCGTCGACATAGAGAAGTGCAGCGACGTTAAAAGACGCTTTGAAATGTCCCTCACAGATCTCTTAGTCTAAATTTGGTCCTGGAAGAACACCACACAGTTTCGCTTAGCCCGAACTATTGTAATTCGCAAGACCAACAGGATCAAAAAAGTCGAAACTGAATAGAAGATCTCGTATCTTTGAAACCTTTGGACCAGTAATTTTAACGGATAACCCCTCTCATCATTTATACGATTTTAATGGTCACATCGAACTTATTCTACCACGGAACACTAATAAAGAACTTCTTCGTCCAGTCTAAAATCACAGTTTGCACCTTCACTTGACCTGCCACAATTAAAACGACTGCTGGAATTATAGTTGGCGATGGCGGACGCGATGAAATTAAAATTCTGATTAGGGGACAGTAGGAGCCGTAGGAACAATTTTATTTATCCAGATATGCCTAAGCGATTGACTACAGAAGATGTGCTTGTTTTTCAAAATGCATTGGAATGTAGTCGTGTTACTCCATATATGATTTCGGGTAGAACGACGCGTAAATATAAACATATAGCTATTCTCATACCTATTGGAACAGTCTGAAAACTTGGTACTAATTCAAAGGCAGTGCGTGAAGGAAATAAAATTCGAAAACTAAGGAAATATGGCAAGTGTTTAACCATGTACGTAAGCAAGTTAGCAAATTAACAAGAATGTGGATGGTTAAAGATGGAAGAACGCGATAAGAACTAGAGAGTTTAGTTGTGGGATGCATGTCTTGTTTCTAAGAATGGAAATAAGGAGAACTAAGATGCATACGGTCCTTGGGTCGCATCGTCTCATAATCGATAACGATCTTCTGTATACAATGTGCGTCAAGGCTATACTGCGTAATTAAGATACAGTAAGTGACCGATCTCATGAAATGTTGTCTGCAAAGTTGGGAATTCGTTTTCTTATAGGATAGGTTACTTAGGCGCAGTTGTAATACTAGTTGTTTTGCGACATAATCCCATAAAATCGCGGACCTGGCAGTATAGTGGCTTTCGGATGCACTGGTTTCCAATTTCCGATATAAACATTACTCTACAAAAATAACTATTTCAGTGGGCATGCATTGTTCACATTGATTTTCGATGACCTTGCAAACCCAAATATATTTAATAGAAGCCATGGATGAGAATAGGCTATTTCTCAGGCGTTTGATAGAAAATCACGTCAAACATTTTTATACTCGAAGAAGGAATAAAATTATGTTTTAAATTTTTTTTCTTATTATGAGACTTTTTAAGACCGCGCAATGTCCATTCATATATCAACGTACCTGTCCGTCTGACAGTGCTTCTCATGAAATGTACAACATGCTCCGCATCCATTGTCAAATATTATGGACTCTATAGAGTTTTATTTAAAGGCATAGAAGAATATGTATTTTTCTTTAAGCAGAACAAGTGCACCTTGTAGGCGAAAACCATTAAGCGCCGATGCAAAGGCTGAACAGGCTCCTAATTATTCAGGACAAACGTTTTTAAATGCCTATTATAGTCCTCCCTGGAGTGCAAAATTTGAAGATTAAGTTATTCTCTATCAAACTCCTGAAGAGCATAGTTATGTTCGTGGTTTCTGTAAAATAATTTGGAACTAGCACGACCATGGAAGATCAATGTGCAACATTCATGCTACATAAGCAGTCCTTTTTAATCGAGCGTAATTTCTGTAGAAAGTCGAAGAGAAGTGCATTCAAAAGCTGCCATCCTGCCGAGTACGCAATACTACAGGATTACGCTGCTCGCGAATATATATAACAAATCCGCCTAACTAATCCTTTCAAATAGAACACGCATTTCAGAATTTCGACCAACATTTCAGGAGATCGGTCACGAGCTGTGTGTCAGCTGTTTGTGTAGTGAAGGACGTACAGCCGGTGTCCCGGCTATCGTAATATTAGCTGAAGTACTTATGGGTGCTTTCATTTTAAAAATACTATTCTACTAATGTTATAATACTAATCACCGTGCTGCATAGTTACAAGACATTTTAGCTCCTTCAGGATGTCGGGTTTAAGCGAACGTCTTTCCCATCGCTTGCGCAACCAAGGCCCTCTAATTATGACAGCTTAAACAGCATAAAGTCATTGACTGTCAATGCCTTTAAAAAGTTAACTTATATTTAATGACCAAAATGCATAAATTATTCATTTTTCAGTTAGTATGAAGTTACGTTTTTTGTCAAATAGAACGGTTCTGGGAAGATTAAAATGTGGTTTTTAGAAAGTTGCACACAATGAATTCTTTTTAAAACCATAAAACGCCCGTTCATTTATCATAATGAATTGGAATATACAAATAATGGTTATAGAGTTAACACCATAGTTTATATTCACTGCTTAATTTACTGAACCGCGCATAGTCCCCTCTTAGCATAAACGCCTGTCGAACGAAAAAAAGATTCAATGCATTTATAAAAGCTATCCATGAAATACACTTCTTTTTATACGGGGAATCTAACGTCGTACCACATGTGTGCATATTTCACATTTTATTGGCGCCCAGAAATCCGGTATCCTGCCACAAGTGAGATATTAATGGTGCGTGGTATATTGTGAGTACTATTGCGACACTTTTTAAATGGAAGATTCCTTCCAGAAATTGAAATGTGCTATAATATCGGTTAGAATAGGAAAAACCCCAAAATGACTGCCTTAACAAAGTTTTCATATTTAAACACTCGTTTCTGACGTCATGCATTTTAAATATCATATTTCCTTAATGACTGGAAAAAAGGCCTTCCTCAAAGCACAATTATACACATCGAAAAATCTTATCAACAGCCTTTGTTTTTATTTAGTGAATAACTGTCAGTGACATTAACAGAGAGGTTTTTCCTGACGACGATAATTGATGGACTAATATGACGCCAGCTTGCAGTGAAATTTCATTAGGGTAAAACTTAACTCAGTGCTTCCGCTATTTAAAGTGAAAATTGGGACGCCCACCACTGCTTGTCGTACTACAAAATGAAATATAATCGGTCAAATATTGCATAAGGTATAGGCAGCGAGAATTTCATTCTCTCAGGCAGATCTGAGCGGCAAAACCCTAGGCTTACAATCGAGCTTTTCACTTCCAGTTAGCACAGCGGCGCCAGTCCCCAACACCCTAGAATGATGAGTTTCCGCGTGTGAGATGAAGTGCTACAGCAAATCTTACACCGATGAACGCCTAAACTATTAAAAGGCATATATTATTTCAAATTTTTACAATTTAATCCAAACTATTAGAATACTACGCACACGTTTAGGGTCGAAAGAAGGGCAGAGTGAAGTGCAAACACACCGATATTGCGGCGTTTAAATGATTTCTGGAGCCGTACCTACTGGATACAAGCAATTGCGAAAGGTAACAATACCTCTGATTTTCAAAATTTTCATTATTTTCTTTTTCTAAGGTTGGTGCCCACTAGGTGTTCCTCAATAGTCTTTCGACATTCACGCCGACGCTGTAGTAGGCGGACACCTTTTTCGATTCTGCTAAACGTTTTCACGATTCCGCAGGTCATATGGGAAGTCACAACCGGACGTTTGACAGTTTGGACGTACTCATGCTGTTAGCTCAATCAATAAAACAGAGTTCTAGTCTCGTTAGTTTGGCGTTATAGTCTGAATACTGCGAACATGTAATTAAAAGTTTGAGGTTGGTATTGCCATAAAATGTTTTATTAAAAGGTTGCTTGTATCAGTGGTCTCTTTAGACACAATATTCGTGTGAGTATTTCTCTACCACTCACGTATTTTTAGCACATTGAAATTCCGAAACAAAGCATCATCGCCCGTGTCTGTCTTGAGCTAATGAGAGGGCGTTCGGTGTGTCATTTGCTGACCAAACTGATAAAATATCCTGTATAATTCCAAATCAGCCGTTGTCGATTCTGTTTGCATTACAGATTTAAAACAAATAAAACACCCCTTAGCTTATGTTGCATTATGCGCCGTGATTCAGGAGGCTAGTGGAGTGATTTCAGTGCAGCCTTGCAAACCATATCCAAATTGAGTGGCTTTATCGAGTCGTATATCACTTTATCGCTTAGGAAAATCTCGGTCCAAATGTCATGACACACGTTCAGGAATACAAGCGTCAGCTTAATAATTTCAACCAAATGCATACACTCATTTCCATCTCATAATTCGATTATTTATACCCCGCATAGTGCAAATTGTACATAAGATAATGACACCTCTCTCTCTCCTTTACAAATGGACCTCTTTCTCTTTTTATGTATAATTTGTCATGCCTTAGCTTTTTCTCATGTCTAACTTACTCTAAACGGTCATCTAATTGAAACAAACTGGTGAACATTGCCTATGTATTATGTTATTTTATATTTACAAATTTCCAAATCGCAAGTTATATTTGGTTTTTTGGTCCACCCAAACGACATGCCTGGGTCGAATTAGAACTTGATAATTTTATCGGATACTCGCCACTTTCATCAACAAACGCTTACTTGACTCCCCACCGTAGTGGTGGAACTTCGGAAGCCACGCAACTAGGTGAGAAACAGAGGTTTACCTCAAAAAGCTTCCCAAATCATGATTTTCTGATTATAGTTGAAAAATACCATGTTTCATATTACCTTTCCTGTGACGACGTTTTCCGTGCTTGACCTGCAAGCATTGTCTCCACCGAATTTGCCTTCCCGAAGTTACTCCCGGTTTTAAGAAAAAGTTGAAGTATATAGAATATATAATGGACTTTAAACAAACAGATTAAAAGATAAACTTCGTGTGGCTACACCGAACCCACTCCGATAAAGATGGAAAGGAGTTACTGCAATCCCAAAATATATTTGTCATAGATTTGCCTATTTTAAATCATCCTCATCCTCCTCGTCAGTAAGAACCAATCTATGCTTCTTTTCTTCCGACATTCGATCGTCCTGGTCTTCATCATCATCACTTTTCACGTCAAGATCCCCCTTATTATCATCTTCATCATCATTATCCTTATCGGCATCATATTCACCAAAATAATGTTCGTCGGCGCCGTGGTGACCACCGACGTGAACTGCAACATTAACCTCAAAACCAGAATTAGCAAAGTGATGTTCGTCCATATTGTCACCAAAATCTATCTCTTCTTCTTCATCTTCTTGATCATGTCCACCGTGATGATGAACATCATCACTGTCCTCTTCGTCGGAACTGTCTTCAGCATCATGATACTGAACATTTTCCTGCCCGGTCTCATCAACATCATGCAACATTTCTCCTTCTCCTTCGTTATTTTCTTCGGCAACGTTGTTAACCTTTGAATTACCATATTCTTTTTCATTCTTCAAAACAAAGTCATCATTCTGCGGTTGATCGGCTTTCGCTTTCGAGTGGGATATAATGTATGCATCTCTACCGTCGGCCGACAAGACCAGGAGGACAAAAATCCCAACAAGGAGGAACTTGACACTCATGCTTTACGCCTTGAATCAAATAACCTTTTGAAACTTATCTTTGTCAGTCTTATATATATTTGTTGCCTAATCCCCCGGTAACGAATAAGGAAATCGCATATTGGAAACGGTGACATGTTAAGCCAGAGCAATCCCTACTTTTCACTCGCCTAACGATTTTCGCATGCTCTTTGTCCCTACACCTGACAGGTGGCGTAGACACGAGTGCGCATAATTTTGGAGGCATTAAAGATCTTCAGTGCTCCTAAAAAATCCCCCTGCAGACGATGACACGTGGCGTAGCCATAGACAGATTTAAAATAGTCAAAACATATAATGGTAAGTAAGTGCTATTAGGATCTACAAATTACTCAGATTTATGTAGTCGCCAATCGGATGTCAGTTTTGATCACCGTGTTCGCTGAACGTTCGTTTTTTTGATCTTACATGCCAAAACTGGCAAAAGTAATTTCTCTTCCGTAGATAACGCGAGACGGTGTTGTTCATTAGGTAACTAACTATATTTTGCGCTTATCTTATTTAGACACTTTCTGAAGTGCAATACTTATCAGTCAGCGCGGATCTTTTGCCAACATCGCCGGTCATGCTGCCGGAGTGCAAATCATTTTCAGCAAGTTGACTAAACGGAAACAGTATTAAACAACAGAAAATCCGTCTTCTTTAAACTCATCAGTAAGCGCTCTCTGGAATAGACATGAACGTAAAGAGAACTGGGATGCAGAATGGTAGTGACACCGTAATTCACATTAAAAATACTGCTATGCAATCAAAGACATGTGCTTTCCACTAAACCGCACTTAAACGTATGAACATAAATTACGCTTTTTAATTTCGAATAACGTATCTAAAAGGTCATTTTAATGAATTAAATAATAGTTTATATGCTCTTTCACAGGTCAGTCGTAAAGGCCAAAATATGAAATCGACACCATTAATTGAACAAATTTATGCGTCACCACATTTCACATGAAGGCCGAATGAAAAACTTCGTGCAAGTGCATTGACAACTGCTCTTTCATGTACCTGCTGTGTGAGAAACTGAGTTTGCTGCATACGGATCGTTGCAACTGGTCATTTTTAATGAGATACGAAACAATATAAAATAAATTTCTTTATAAGCCTATGGTGCACCAGTAAAATGACGCTCAACCTGTGATATGCTAATCCAGCTATTGTGCCCTTATATACCGTTGTGCAGAGGGTAACTAATTACGAAGGAGGCAACCTTAATCATATCTGCTCGTCCTAGTGTATGTTTTGAATAAAAGTCAGACTTAAATTAATTTAAGTGTGGTATAACTGTGAGGGATTTAATAGATGTATGTCAGGTAGTAAATGCAACGTTACCGGTGGCAAGACATGAAATAACTCACTAAAGCCTACCAAGTGAATGCAAAAGTTGATCCTCGATAGAGAATACAACTGGCAGCCTTGATATGGAGCGACCACAATGTATGCATCTCAGCTGATTACATTTGGCTATAGCCCTTTACTCACCTGCATTTGATCTGGCCTATCACATGACGCTTTCCATCGCTATACTCTTTAAAGTACAGTGATACTTATTTTTTAGACATGAAATTGAGGCCCGATTAATTTCCGCGTTTCATTTTCCATAATACTTACTGCCAACTGCGGACCTTTCTCGTAAGCATTAATAATACGGTAGTATGCTGCGATTATCACGCATTATACGGGTACATGAGCACAACAAATAATGAGAGATAATGTGCGACAATCAGACGAAAGTGCTTTTCAACTAAGGTAGCCCGCTCGGTTCAGATAATAAAAGGAGCTAACAGAGCAAACGCGAAAAAATTGGTATGCCGTAGTTTGCACCTATATTCGTTAGTGCAGTGACAAATCTAGACAGGAAATATCTCTTTGGCATTAAAATGCATATTTATGCTAGCATTTCAGCCATAGCTGCTTCCTACACAGATATCTGGTTAGCACACTCAACCTTAGCGTTTTAATCTAAAGTAGTCGATGATCCCAAGTAACTAATCCTTATTATAATTTTGTCTAAAAGCATATTACAGCGGCCATGATATTTTTTGTTTTTTACAATAAATTTTATTGATGCAGACAGCGAAATCGAAAATGTTCCTACCCAGATTACGGCTGTCAAGTTAAGCTTGACGGAAACCATTAGATAAGGAACTAACTAAATAAAAGGTTTAGTCACCGAAGGGTATGTTGAATAGTTCATTAATGTGCAACAGCAGAATGCACGCAATCATTGTGTGTTCGTAAATTATAAGGGTAGTATAACATGTTATACGCATTTTTTATATGATTGAACTCTACAAACACTAAGGATATGTATGTACATTTGAGGACCTTACCATAGTAGTTTTGACTCCGGAGCGCAACCGCTAGCATTACGACACCAGGCGTTATGGTGAATCATGTAAACAAACGTCCAGTGTCTAGAAATACCCGATTACAATCATGATCAACTAGTAAATTAGAGTAAGGTATGCACTATGAAGAGTATTGCGGTTCGGGTACGGCCTTTCTAGTCTCATTTGCTTTGCCGACACTCATTTTATGTAACCGGATCTGCTAGTTTTTGAAGACAACATGCCACAGGGTCTTTAAAGTGCTCCGTCGAATATGAGTATGTAAACTAAACCAAAGTAAACATAGCCCAGAAATCTCTAATACCGGACCGGTGGTAATAGGGCTTTTACCAGGGGGACCCGGAAACGCACAAGCAACGAGGTCAAGTAGATTTATGCAAATAATAAGCCCTTGGGAATGCGTGGTTGTAATTTGAATAGTTGAGAAATAGTTGTGCCACCCAATAACTATAAACTCTAACCCTTACCCTCTACCCCAACTCCAACAATATTGGGTTTATAAGGCGGAGCCACCAAACTACACCTTATCAGGTCTTGTGATAAGATATATGGACACTCCTATTCAAGAACGCTTTTTGCGAAAGGGTTGTTGAATAAGACCGCCTCAAGGATGTTCTCTGGGTTTTAATCGAACACGCTGGATGTGACCTCTAGCTCATTTTCTCTCCGATGGAATGACATAATCGTCAAATACGTACGGAAAACCACACATTTTTGCGGCAATAAAGGAGGACCACATAGCGTTGATAAAATATAGCAGTATATTTGATCCGTATTACTAGCTACATTAATATATGCAGAGGCATGACGATGGATATTCGGACTTTTAAAGATACTTAAATGTACAACCAGTAAAAGCTTTTAAAAACCAAATTTTATCCCTATTTTGACCATACGATAGGAAGATGACGCAATTACCTACCAAAGTTGCAAGAGAGTGACTATTTTTTACGCGTTTTTCATGAAAGATAATAAGACTATTAGGGGCGTCAGTGACCGAAATTCGTGCTACATAAGTAGTCATGTTTTGCAAAATGTCGTACCTGTATTGAACCAGAAGGATGTTCATTCGAAAACCGACAACCTGAGGTAATTGAAATATTGTAGAATTATGTTGTAGGCGGAATAATAATGCAACCCTAGTTAATTGATCTTTTCAAAACGAAACAGCATTTCGGAATTTCGGTCGACATTTTATGAGCAGATTCATTTATTGTAATGGGCTGGATCAGCGTTTTAATGTTGCCTCTAGCTATCCTTTTCGTAATAACCGCACAGATTGCTGGTCAGTGGTAGTAATCACCTGTGCATATGGGATATTCTTCTGGTTTGTATCAGGTGGTATGAGTCACTTGTGCATATGGGGTATTCTTCTGATTTGCATCACACATACCATCATTCCAAAATACCCTTTGCAGTGACCGTCATTTAAACTCCGCTGGCCAATTGATGTTTTGCCAAACTGCACTTCGATTCCCGCGGTCGGACATTCTTTCATAGACGTACCTGCAGTAGACGACCCCAACCTAACTCCTGAGGCTACATCTCCTAACCCGAACCCCTATCCTAAACTCCTGACCCCTAACCTGAACCCCTCACCCTAACCCCACCACTGTGTCCACCACTGACAGTAAATCTATCTGCGGTCACCTACACCTCCTGCTAATCTGCTTAGACTCTGTGCTGCTATGAATCACGACAGAAGCACAACAATTGATAAATCCGACGTTACATTTAGGAAGACTTTTGTAAGCATTTCACACCTGCTACTCGCTTTAGAATGCTTCTATGGATATAAATTAACTGCTTACTTCATCCATCCTTTTTTCTTGCTCAGTGCGTTTATTTACCTTATTGTTTCACCTATTCACTTAAACCGTGCTAGGTCAATCTTACTGTGCTCTCTTTAGCCCAGTTTCACCGCCGTTTCCATATTCTGATTGGTTGTGTAATCTGTTCGTCCTCGTCTTCATTCTAGTGGTCGCAAGGGCGGTTTATTCGATCGTTAAGTTTCAATACGCAACAGCTTATTTTATTGTTTTTCTTTAGCGCACAATTGTGCTGCCGTCCGTATGTTTACCTTTTTCAACAGGAAGGGGAATACAATTACTTTTCAAGGAAATGAGATCGTCATCTTTTTTTATCTCCCGTTTATTCCTCGACCATTAAACCCCCCTTATCATCTTTCTTGCATTCGAAATTCCGTTAGACTTTCGTCCATGAGTGAGGTTGCATACCAACCGTTGCCTTGTTGTGCTGCAGTCAGCATGTCAGGTCGTGGTGCTACCACGTCATGCGTAGCTTTGACTTGGCTGGTAACAGACACAGGTGCGACGTTGTTGGAGAAGGCGAGAAAGCAGAAAAGTGCATGACATCACAGACAATAAGTTGGCAGAGAAAAGGGGTAAATTTAGCAGAGACACACTGAGTTCATTATCTGACGTCCAGAATATCCAAACCTAACTCGGTGTGAGTTGCTAATTTATCAAATGACTCTACAAACTAATGAAGGATATTCAAAGCATCACGCATTTGAATGCCCTAATCAAAAAAACATGATTGTACTTATGCATTAAATTCCTGGGTAAATCATGAGCGATTTTTGAGAAATGGCAGAGTCATATTCAAGGACTT